TGATAATTCAGTTCTCTTCCTATTACCTGAATACACATACCGGCTGAGGCCTCTCACCTCGGTGGTGTGATCGGTTAACTAACGGGGCTCTCAAAGGCATGGGAATCACCTTGCAAGTGTTTTCTCTGTACCTGCTTCCTTCATTATATATAGGATCGATTTTGGAGGAAAACAAGGTCAAGGAACTCAAGGTTTCGCTGCCGCGGCGTTGATGCCAATCGGAACTGGAGAGTGAAATGGTGCGGTAAGTTTGGGCTAATTGGGATGCGGACCATAAGGTTTCTACACGTTTTCACTCTGCAAAACGATGAGCCCATTTCGACTGTGATGTGAGACTGGTGTTTTCCTGCATGTGGAAATCTAATCTATAGAATGACACCGATCTGTGCATTAGAGCTATAATTTGTCAAAGAAAATGAAAGGGTTTAAAAGATATATGCTTAAGAATCAAGGATCTCAATCTGTCAACCCACAACTGAAAATTTAAACACAGATGTAAATGCACAAACCAAGGAATACTTGTCAATCATAAAACTACAACAGGAGCTGTGTTTTGTGTTCTGAATCTGGTTAAGCGTTTGCATCTCTTTTGCAAAGGGAAACGCTTTCTTCTGTCAGTGGCAATCAGGGATGTCAGTCTTCATCTCTAATCTATCAGTCCATCAGTCATTCACTTATCGACCACTCACAGGGCAAATATATGACTGCTGCATTCCATGTTTCATTGGGACTCACCTTTCAAGAATGGGAGAATGTTCTTTTAAGCAGGGGAAGTATTTTCCAGAGGAAGTAGGCAGGAGGCATATACTGACAGCATGAGGGAAGAAGGGGGAAATCGTGTCACAATGCAATTGTTCAGAGCTGCCCTTTGGCAGAGTCCTTCCTGAGCTCCCTCAAAAATTAGAGCCTAATATTTGGAAAATAAAATAAACCAAATAAATGCCTTTGAATAATATTTTTAGAAGCACTAATAGTATTGGAAAGCCAACCTTAGAAAGGCCCCGAGAAATGAAGTGCATCATGCATTCACTGTGTGAGCTTCAGGGTCTGAGCTAGCGTCTCCTTTCTCCTCCAGCTCCTCCGGGGTCAGACAAAATAGCTGATCATGGGCCCAGGCTAGACTCCTTCCACATACCCTTCCAGGCAACCACCCCCAATCAATTTTGTCACGTGGCTCTCTGCCCCAAAATTTGCTTTGACTCGTGACATCCAGAGCAAAGCATTGCCCAGTCTTCTGCTACCTTCCCCATCATGGGTATGGGCAATGCCAGTGTTGCAGGCACTGTATATTTTGATTGTGTTTCAACCTCATGGACTCATCGTCCAACACGCTATCAAACAACATTCTGTTGTGGTCCTAGTATTTTCATCAGGTAACTTTCTGGAATAGATCATCAGGCCTTTCTTCTTAGTCTATCTTAATATACAAACTCTGCTGCAACCTGTCCAGCATAGGAATATGAAATGCCCTGCTGATATTTGGATTCCTCATAGCATAACTTCTAGCATCATAGCAACAGACCAGCCACCCCAATAGGACTCAATTACAGCCAGGTGGTAGCCCAATCAATTACAATTTTATCAACTAAGATGAACGGTGGGACAGTAGACAGGCTATAGCTATAATACATAATAAAAATAGTGTGAGTCTACCAGTGTTAGCAAAATTATCTTCAGCATTATTTTTTAATTTGTGGAATTATTA